ATGTGTCCAACAACTCTGATCCATGAGGCCATATTGAGAATACATCATCTACATACCTCCACCATACTGTGGGTTTTAAATTTTGTTTAGAAATGATATTCGAATTTTATCCATTATCACAGTTGCATTCCCCTTGTCTGCTGGTAGGATAAATATGGAGTCGTCATTTTTTAAAGTTCTTATAGCCTTTATTTCCTATTTGCTTATGTTTTGTTCAATTTTAGTAGATTTTTCCAATTCAAGTTTACATAACACTCTGTATTCTTGCTTTTCGTGGGTTGGTAAGCATTGAGATATTTTCTCCACTGAGCTTATTATGTCTTATTTTGGAACGAATGGCTGAGTAATAGCAAAATTTATGTATTTTTTTCTGACGGATATTCTCAAGATAAAGTTGATTTCATGTAATCGAATGAACTATCTTATAAGTAAAGTCGTCCCAGGAGCGCAACTCAACAATATTGGCAATATCATTATTTTAAAGTCGTCTACTTTAAAATGCATAATGTATGTCTGAATTGTCAATATAAATGAGTCAGATAAAATTAAAATATTAGAAGAATTTTTCACTATGTAACAAAAAACAAAATTTGTTTAATTATCTGTTTGTATTTTGAGAACGATTTCCGAAGTGGAAATTGAAACGTCAATAAACGTATTTTTATCTTTAATTGTGGCTTCATCACAAAACCTCTCTATTCAAAAATGCCATTTTTATTATATATTATGTTTTTATTGTTTATTCCTTAGTCCTACAGCAAATATCCTGATAACAAACATTTTTAGAAGGAAGCACAGTTAACCATATGATTCGTCCATCGATACAACATACATTTTTTTTAAATCGACCATTTTTAGCAATGATCTTTACCAAAAAGGCGTTAAAATGCTAGAAAAAGGAATTCACTAATTGAGGAAAGCTGGGAAGAAGTCAAAAATACCATAAATTAGGCATCTCGGAGTGGCGTCCTTTTTAAATTACTAGAAGTGTTTCCTGTTTCCTTTCTGTGTTTTGTTTTGTTTGTCTCAAGAGATGCATGACCTTTTGTTTAATTTTTTTGTAGTTGCCCAATCCAACCCCTTTGATATTTACTTATCCACGACCCCAGTTCTCCAACCAAACGCTGAGTGCCGTTCGCACAAGTATCGATTATTTTGCTTACCCTATCTCAACCCCCTAAGTTTCTGTCCCAATTTTCTACTCCTCATAATCTTACCCTATGGTAGGCAAAATATATTCGTTACAATATGACAGAGCGGTGATATCGATCGTTTTGTTGTGCAAAGAGCGAGTGAGGGTATATGCAAGGAAGATGGATGTAAACACAGATGAGAATGAGAGAGAAAGAACGATAGTACAGTAGCAGAGAGAATGGGCGAATGATAGTGGAAAGGCAAGATGGACTAAGGAGCTTATTCCCGATCTGAGACCGTGGTAGGAATGTAAGTTTTGAAACTAGATTACTTCCTGACGCAGTTTCTGACCGGACGGAGATGGCAGTTTTGCCGCCTTCACAAATAGAATAGGCAAATCTGCCTCGGCAGACTGTACTGTTTGTGAGTTACCGGAAGCTTCCGCCCACATTGTTAACTGTCAGAGATAGGCAAATGAAAGTAAATTGAGCCAGGGATCTGAAATTTATGGTTAATATTATTTATTAGTTTATGGCCTAACGTCTGAAACATTTTCTGATTTACTGTAATAGGTATTGTTATTTATAAATTTTTAGTTTTTTATTTTAATCCACAAGGAATCTAAGTTCCAGTAGTTATAGTGTATTTTTATGTATGAGAGAGTAATAAAACAATAAATTATGTATGCAAATCCCTAAATTGTTGATACGGGTGACTCAATGAAAAACAGATATTTGTCAACAAGTTTACAGAAGTATATAGGAAAACAATTTTAAATTGAGTATGACCACCAGGTATAAAGGTTGGAGTAGAATAGAATACAATAGTTGTGAGGGTTACTAATCCCTAAATAAGGTTGCCAGTGTCGGAGTGATGGAGGTTAACAGGTACTAATGAATTTGCAAGAAATGTAAGATGTTTATTTTATTGGTTATATATAACCAATAAAAGTTTAATAAGTACCTATCTATTTGCAAAATAAAGTTTAATTCTTTAGATAAAATAAAACGTTTTATTTTATCTGAAATGAGTGCATTCCACGAAGTAAGGGTTTCAACAATCAAACATTTAATTCTTTAATTCCAGGAATCTACGACAGTAATTGACTAGATAATTACCTTCTAAACTTATTCCACAGAAAATGTGATAGTGGGTTTTTCCATTTTGTAGGAAGGTCCAAGTGGCGTATTCAAAATTCTTAACAGTTCACTAAAAGTAGGTACTTCAGTTGCAAGGTGCAGTTTATTGTGTATACTAGTGTTATGGAAAATTTGGAAGTGCCGTGTAAACGCCGAAAAATTGGTTCTTTAACAGTTAATGAAAAAACATTAATATTTAATTGTTTTAAATGATTTACAGACAAACGTTTATGTGAAAGTGTTGATGAGACCGTTGAGTTAGTTAGCAGTACACTTGGTGTTGGGAAATCTACGATTTACAGAGTTATTAAAGAAGAGAAATGTGGTAGTTTTCAAATGCCACGTAATGCTCCAGGGAAACCAAAATTTCAAATAGAATATCATTTTAAAGAAGGACTTCGACGGAAAGTGCATGAAATTCTTCTTTAGACAAGAATTTCCAACATTGGATAAAGTTCTTGTCTCAGTTCGAGATGATAAGGATTACCCAGAAATGAGTCGAAGTACGTTATGGAAACTTTTAAAAGAAATAGGCTTCCGCTGGAAAAAGAATCCCAGAAAGTCTATTTTATTAGAAAGAAGCGATATTGTCATATGGAGAAGACATTTTTAAGAACCATAAAGGAAATGAGAAACCAAAAAAGAAAAATATTTTATCTTGATGAAACATGGATCAACGAGGGTCATACACCAAATAAATTTTGGCAGGATGAAACTGTTACAAGTCAAAGGCACGCTTTTGTAAATAACTTATCTACTGGTTTAAACCCACCATCAGGAAAGGGACGCAGGCTGATAATAGTACACATTGGCAGTTCAGACGGTTTTGTTGAAGGTGGTTTATTAACTTTTGAATCAACTCGTACCGGTGACTACCATGAAGACATGAACGCTGATGTCTTTCAAGAATGGTTCGAACAAATGATAGATCTTCTTCCTAAGAACTGTGTAATAGTAATGGATAATGCAAGTTATCACTCCAGACTTATAGAAGGACTGCCACAATCAAGTGGTTAAAAAAAGACTTGCAGAATTGGCTGAGTTCAAAAAATATTACGTACCATCCCGGATCTATAAGAAAGGAACTTTATTCGTTGTGTGCCCTTCATAAAGAAAAATTTAAAAAATACGAAATTGATGAAATTGCCAAAAATCGTGGAATGACAGTACTTAGATCCCCACCATATCATTGTGAATTAAACCGATTGAACTGGTATGGGCACAGATAAAGAGTGAAGTTTCAAGAAAAAATACCACTTTTAAAATTCATGATGTTAAACAGTTGTTTTTGGAGGCCGTAAATAATATAAAACCTGAAAACTGGGAAAAGGCAGTAAATCACACTATTAAAGAAGAGGAAAAAATGTGGAAGCTGGACAATATTACTGATAAAATGATCGAGCCAGTTATTATAAATCTTGGTTCTGAAAGTTCATCTTCTGAATCTGATTTGGATTTGTAACAAGTAGCTGTAAGTTTTATATTTAATATTTTTATTCATCTATTTAACATACCTTAGACGGTTTTAAAAACTCTTTTTCTCTTTTGTAATTTTTAAAATTAAAAAAAATGTGAATTTTTTAAAACCCTTTTTAATGTAGGCCAGTCAGTTCTAATATAGTGTGTGATAAAAGAGGTCACTTTTGTTTACATACACATAACACTTTATAACACTGAAATAATTCATTTATTTTTTACAATTATTCAAAGTAATTTTTCAATTAATCTTGAGCACGCCCATGGAGTGGTCGGAGATACCAGTTAAAATTATGCTAATTACTCTCTCGTTCATAAAAATAAACTATAGATGTATACCATGTATCACAAAAATTTTTATTAAAAATCCTTTATAAAAGGTATATAATTTAAAAACCCAATCACACTATATCACAAAACGTTTTCGGAATCCATATTCCATCATCAGTGTCTCGGTGTACATGAATTGAGCCACTAAATATATGGGTAAAAACCCGTAAAAAATTATCTGTTTGAATTTGGTTTACATTATATGGTATTAAATATTATGATGTTAAAGTTACCAGTGGATTTGGTAACATGTCGACGTATGACTCCACATGAAGTTGCTGGTCCTGAGACGATGTATCTACGACAACTTGATGAAAGCTGAGTAACTTTGAGTGACGTAGATGTCCAAAAAATAATTCCCCCACCGTTGTCTGTCAGAATTAAATGGATACCTTATTAGGCTCTTACTGGAATCTGGCAATACGGCAATGAAGAATAAGTCACTATGGGACAGAGCTACATGTCCAAATATAAGACGAGATACAAGGTGGAGAACATCAAGAACTGGGTAAGAAATGCAAGAGTAGAATGGAACGATCATATAAGCCGAATGGCAACAAATCGAGTAGTAAAGACGGCAAGAGACGATTGCCCAATAGGAAGACTATCAGTAGAAAGACCAAGAAATCGATGGAACGACAACTTACTGGAGGCACATTAAAAAACGGACACAGTCATATCTAAATAAAAAGAAGGAAAAGAAGAAGAGGAAGAAGAAGTTGAGTATTGGAAGATAGCCCAATTTAGACTGTCACGATACAGTTTAGTTTAAACCGACTAATGACTAGCCGAACTAAATTGCTCTTATAATATATCTCTTATACTCATTATATTTATGAATATTTAGATAACTTATTCCTGATTGTCTTAAAGCTTGCGATACTCTCCAGAGATATCATTATGAATATCATTTTGACATGTTAGAAACGTCATTTACTAGAGTCAAATATTATTATGAAGATACGAAAAGTGTCGAATTTATTTACACATTATTTTACAAATCAGAACGTCCTGACTAGTCGTAAACGATTTAGTCAAAATATAGTAGATATTTCTCGTAAATCCACTGTTACAGAAAAACTCCAAACAAACACCACAAAGGATAATAAGTTCGAAGTTTCTTCGAGCTATGGTCAAACACATCAATCAGTTGTATTGAAGAAGCCATTGTCGCATCACCCAGATAAATCGGACAGTAAAAAAGAACTTAAAGATCTTTTTAAACATGTAACAGGTCTGTCAGACGAGGTTCTTAAAGTAAGTTATTTCTTTATATTGTTTCCATATTTCTAACGCTTCTATTTCTAATTCTCCATATAAATTTTACCTTGTTCGTGTGTATTTCTAAGATTTTGAGTCCCTATTTTGCACTCTTCTTGCATTTTTCTTTATATTTTTTCCCATTTGTCTTCCTTCGATTGTAAGGTCATCATTTATGAAGACTTTTTCTTTTGAAGGATCTCTTTTGGGACATTTTGGTTTTAATATTGGTATTATAACAGAATCTCTCCATGCTGTTGAAAATTTCTTTTCTGTCCAAATAATATTAAATATGTTAAGATGATTGTGTTCCTTCTCAGGTAAATGATTAAGAAAAACCATTGGGATATTATCTGGACTCTCACTAGTCTCTTTAATTGAGTTTAATGCTTACTTGCATGCAGTACATGTTAGTGCAATTGGTCTATAAGACCCAGGATTGGTTTTGGGACATTTTGGTTCTTAAAATTGGTTGATCGGTCTGGTAATTACCAAATTAGCTAAATAACGATAAGAGTATAATTAGTTTTTTGGTTAATTTGTAACTACAATTATTGATGAGAATATATTATTGATGCTTAAAAGTGATATTTCTAATCAAACTAAGATTAATTGGAAAAGAAGTACTTATGGCACTTAACAAATCACTGAAAATTTCTTTGATTAATCACTTTTAATTATTTAAAATTATACTTTTTCTATTAAAAACTATAAAAGTTGTGGAGCTTGGAATTAAGTTGAAATTCATGCCTGACATTTAGGGCCGGTGTCCTATTCACACTTTTCTGTTGCACGATTTGATAGCGTACCTATTGATATACATTTATTCTTCTTTTTAGATTTCAGATGAACCAGTGGGACCTGGAGCTGTCAAGAACGGAATTTACAAAAATCCTGAATACTTTAGTTATCACAAATATAGTTTTTATAACGCAAAGCTGGAATTGGCAAAATATCGTCTTCCACAGCCTTCAAAAAAAGTTCCGTATTTTCATGAACTCTGTCCAATAAAAAAATAAGTTTTCGCCATTTCCCAATATAGAAGTGATATTTTTTGAGTTTCTAATTTTATGCTACATTTAATATATTTTATGGAAAACAAGCAATATTGGTATTATCACAAATGTTAACTATTTTTTTGTTGCTAAGCGGTTATATAAGATTCATTTCTACAATGATTAACAAATTAAAATATTTACGACTTTTGAAATTAACTAAAACTAGTAAAGTCGTGTAGGTCAAAATTATGTAAGAGTTATTATAAAAAAAACAAAACATTATGTTGTGCCATTTGTGTCCATCTTCTTATGGTACACATTACTATGAGGCCTTTTAACTGACTACGAAGTCTTTCCCAAAATAAACCTTTTTGTTCCATACACCCTTCCATTCAATTAAATTCATTTAACTTCAAGTACTATTTACGTTTAAAAAACCAAACAATTCTATTTTTAATCAACATTGCAGCGACATCTGATCCTAATGACTCCTATCAATAAAATTCTGATTGAAGTTTGTGATAAATAATTCTTTCTGTTTAAAATAGCTTTTTCGGCTCGATTTAAAAGACTTCTCTGGATATATCACCAAATGTATTAATCTCCAGAGAAATATGAGCCTCGTACTTAATTCAATTCGATAAAAAATGAGGACGGCCTAATTCTGTCAAGCGAAATGTGTGGCTCACATTCAGGGAGCCTATAAAAAATATATTTTTACTTAAGATAATATCAATTTTGATATTACTTTGTAATAGAACGAAAAAACTAGGCAATTTTAAAATGGTTCGTTCAAAATTGCTGAATATATAATGCTTCTAACTGCAAGTAAACTTTATTTGGTATTGAGTGAGAGTATATAATAAAACACTGTCAAGTGGCCATTTTTCGTTAACCAATTTATATACCTACAGTTTTTTAATTTTTTCAAACCGCATCACTACTGAGAGTAGAAAGATTTATACAATAAGTTAAGTACAAATTGAGTTCACAAGAAAAAAGAAATTCCTGTACTGTAAAAAAATTTCTGTAAGCCATGAATCACAAAAGTTGGATTTATAACAATCATTTATAAAAGGTATATAGTTAAAAATATCCTTTCGAGCTTTATCACAGAAAGTTTTCATTGTCAGTATATTACCTGGAATAAGTATTACCACTTTAGTGAATGTAAACGTAAAGGTTAAATTTTGACTAAGGGTAAAAAAAGGAATGTGATTAAATACTTACCAGGTGGTTTGTATCAATCCATGTACGATCAATTTCCATTTTACATCGTAGTAGGTATCTCTAATTCTCTAACATTTTAATTCTCTTATCTCAGGGTTATATTCGTGTTTCAATTTCTATGCTTTACATGTGAAAGGTAAGGTCCAAAGAATACCGGAATAATAAAAAAACATATTATGATATAACATTATATATTGAAATAAAAATAATGAAATAAACTTCACACTCAAATGTTTTCAATAAACAATATTCTTATATAATTGATTCTCAAATTTTGTTCTACGTACGTGAACCTTCAAAATTAATGGTACAAACAATATTAGTTAAAATCTCAAAATCCCAATTATTATTCTAAATCTCCTAATCAAAATATTTATATCTTTTCTAAAGTAATTGTAAAAATTGTGTTATCAATAACAGAAAAACTGCAGAAAAACAAAACTATCTCTCTCTGATGATGAGTGGTCCAAATCCTTGTTCCTTGTAGCCTATACTATCTATTCTTAGCAGATCCCTAGGTAATCAGCAATCTTACAACAAATTGTTGCAAGTTTATCGTCCTTAATGATCTCCTTCAAATGCACGAATCGTTCAAATTATGCTAGCCTCTTCTCCTCTCGATAAACTGAATCTCTCGTTGGCCTGAGTGAAAAATGACTCTTGGAATATCTTCTCTTTACGATAAATTGAATCTCTCGTTGGCCCAAACAGTGACTATTGGAATATAAGTAGAAAAATATGACTTCCAATCTTTTACTGGATCAGCTTCTGTCAGATACACTAACTACACGAAAAACTCACAAACTTTCACTGCTACTGCTTCCTACCTCTGGGGAACTACCCGAGAACAACGGCCGTTCGCCTTGCACCCTTGGAAACCAACCAACTATCTTTTTTTCTTCAAAAACTAACTAAAGTCTCATTCTCAAACCAACCATCCCACCTTTTTCAATCTCCTCCAATCAAAACGCGTCATACATCTCTCATTTCTTCATTTCGATAACACAAACAAATTTTTACCTACAATTATAAAATTTCCGAACATTATTTATAAACTAATGTTTTTTTACCAATTATTATGAACTAACAAAAACATATCTTTTTAAAATCTATTCTATTGTCCTAATTACTGCTCAAATTTATTTGGAAAACCCGCTTCCATTGTCTAGGATTTTACTTAAGCTTATTCACGTCACTTAAATATATTTTAACAAAGAAAATAATTTATGCATATCTTACGTTTTGTTCAATATAGGTAATCCAAAGATAAAAGACTTTCATTCTTCGAAATGTTTGTAGTTTATTATTCGATTTATCTGAATTATTTTAATTTTTAGAACTTTGAAATATTTTAAGCAAACCAATATTTTTCTTGATTTTACATATCATAACAATATATATATATATATATATATATATATATATATATATATATATATATATATATATATATTAAAGGTACAAGGGCTGCTTCTGTTTCGTTTTTGTTCGAAGCACATTTAAAACATACCAACAACTTCGAACCCATTGATCTTTCTCGAGATAACAGAGTTGTATTGCTCTGCTTTCTCCCCACTGTTCGCATAGTCTTTAGCCATTAAGTATTTCATTGATAAAAGCTATTAGTGTTTTATGAAGAGGAAGTGTGAAGATAATTTAGATCAAATCCTGAAAAAGTAGTGACTTTATTTCAGATTGCATCGTTGTTTAGAGTTGTTTTTATCAACGCAGCTATTAGAAAAACAGGAATATGGCGTCTAGATGTTAATGCTTTTACTGGAGACGATTTTTTAAAGTATATAGACGCTCACAGGTTCTGTACCTTTTTCTAAATATCTCTTGTTCTACTGGTTAATATCCGTCAAATTTAATTGTTAACATGTTTGTAATAATATTTGTAAAGGTTTTGTAAAGTTTTGAAAGAAGTGAAATTGGTCGATGATTTTTCAGGTCTGTGGTGTCTCCCTTTTTGTGTATTAGTATTGTTTTAGCAGTATTCCATTGTTCGAGTATGTCGCCTTCGAATAGAGATTTATTAAATAGTATTTTTAGATATCTGATGACTTCTTCTCCGCATTTCTTTAGCATTTCTGCTAGGATTCCATCGCTTTCAGGAGCTTTATTTCTTTTACTGTTCTTTCTATTTCTACGTGGCTTATTTCGGGCATCACTTTGAGTTGACATTTGTTATCTGCCTTTTTAAGTTTTGCTTTGAGGAGTTAGAAGATCGTTTCTAGAACGATACAGGTCGGCGTAGAGCTTTTCAATTGAGTTGACTATATCAGATTTACTTTTTTCTAGTTGTCCTTGTTCATTTTTAATGGTTATTATGTTTTTTTTTCATAGTTTCGGTTTGGTGCATTTGAGACTTCGGTTTTTCTCTATAAGTTGTTCTATACGGTCTTCTTGCAGTTTTTTAATGTCGTCATTTATCTGCTTTCTTATTACTCGATTAAGTTCCTTAAATTCTGCAATGTCTCTTTTGTTTTGTCTCAGAAGATATTTTCTTTGTTTTAGCATGTTTTGTGATTCTACACTTTGATTTTTTGTTTTCTAGTGGCGGTTGCGACTTCTTAATAGGTCTTTTGTTATGACTTCATTGATTTCATTTAAGCTAAGTTTATCTAGATTTAATACTTTCGCGGGTTTTAACTTGCTTTTATATTTGTTCTATATTAGATTTTAGTTTATCTGTGCCTATATTCCAAATTTAACATAGCATTATTGTAATTTTTGTGTTTTTTTTATAATACTACATTACTTTTTAACACTATTCAAACTCCCATATATTATAGACAAAAAATGTCGGTCCCTTTGCGTAAAGTGATACTGTTGTCCAACAGGTAATAAAAATAGGTAAAGGGCTTTTTTATGACGCGCTAACTGCCCATAAAAGAATTAATTTCTTGTCGCACAATTACTTCAGTGATTTATGGTTTCCAAACAAAAGTGGCAGCTCTTCACTTGCTCACACTTTTTTACAAAACCCATGTATACAAATAAAAGGATTGACAATTCAGCTCTTAATGTATGCACCGATAACAGGATCGTAAATCTAAATTTCTGTATGACTTGTTATAGTCCAGTCATATTTTGAATTCCTAACATTGCACAGAATTATATCAGTGATAAATGTAAATAAACAAAATTTTCGCTATGGGAGTGACTAATATTTTTCAAATATTTTTTGAGAATAGCATACAAGATATTAAAAAACAAGTAATGTGTGGGCTGATATACTTGGAAATACAATTGTTAGACCTTTATTTATTGTAAGAAAATTTACAGGCAATATGTAACCTACTAAGCTTGAAGAGACTATCGAGCTAGAAACCAAAAATGATTGCCGAAGGTGTACTTCATCTATGTCTAGTGTCTCATCATAAAAGTGATTCCGAAACGAGAAATAAAATTAAACAAATCCTGTTAAATATTCCAATTATTGTGGAATTGTCACCACTTTAACTAAAAATGCCAGTGTTCATAGTAAGAAAAATTGTAAATATTCCTATTATATGAAAATTAACATAACCAGATAACGATATTTATCGGAAGTTAGTTCGTGCAGATGAAGATCTTATTCGTTGCAAACTGTATTCCTTGAATAAAGATCAAATTTTACAAAACTAGATGTTTAAATTGACAAACTTCACTTGAACCTTACAGAACAATTTGAAGGATTTGATGCAACTCCCTCTTTTTACCCAAATTTACTTTTTATATGCTTAGTATAAATAGGACAATGTTTTCTCATCTTTTGGTGCAAGAATCAGCCATCTTCAACAAATATTAAGGTAAATAGATGGGCTAAGAAGTTGACTTCTA